CCCCAAAACCCCAAAACCCCAAAACCCCAAAACCCCTTTGTTTATTCTTATAATTGAATATTTAAGAAATAAACTAATATGATCAGAGAGTCCAACCCTGAATTTGAGATATTAGGAATGAGTGCTGTAAAATTCACCACTAATGATCCCCACCAGGTTAGTATGAAGAACCTTCAGACACTGGAGAATGCCCAGGAATATCCACAGCCTGATAAATCATTTAATCAGTCTTATGTTGGCGGTCAGTCGAGAAAGTCCATCGTGAATAGTAGCTATAGTAACTCTATGTTTTTTAATAATTTAGACCATGGACATGATGAAGGTGTTTCCAGTGATGTGGATAACAACTATGTCAAATCTTTTAATATGATTGATATTAACCAATCTGCTGACTTTAATGAAAATGATGCTTTCAGTAAAAACCTCGAAGTTATTTTATAGCATCAGGAAGCCAAGCTTGGAAACAAAGCTCTATGTTTGGACAGAAATATCCCTTTAGCACCAGGAACAAAATTCATAATATTTCAAGGATTTCTAAGAAGAATCTGTTTAATCCTTGTACAACTATTAGTCTGGATCAGAGCTTTAAACAAAGGGATGATATGATTCAAAAAATTAAGGAAGAGAATAAGGTAATTTTCCACTTATTTTCCAGAAAAATACTCCAAACCTGATCGATCCAGCTCCTGTGAGAAGAAATGCAGGGAAAATTCCAAAGCTTCAGACTCAGAAGCCTCATCATAACTCTCGAGCTGTACTATCGAGGTATCTGCACAGTATGAGCTCAGCTGAGTATTTCCCAAAGGAGAAGAGCTTAAGGATGGATTGTGATTTATCACCTCAAAGTATTTTGGATTATTAAACTTATAGATAAACTTCCTCAGATAAAAGCAGTCTTGAACCAGGGTCCCAAGAAGGTCCCTAATAGGTAAAGCTCCAAGTCACAAACTTTAGAGCACAGAGTAATAAGACCAACAAATCAATCTGGAGCTGCTATAGAGAGTCTCCTGGATCTCCAGGAGGAGCCTTCTCTACGGAAGCTTATGACAAAGAAGCTGTTGGAAGTAATAACCTATACTTTCTCAAAAAGAAAGCGATCAATGATAGATCAGGTGCTAATATTTATCTAAAAGAAGGTGAAGGCATCCCTACGAAGATCAAAAAGGCTACAATGCCCTTGATCAAGAGTCTTGAGGCAGCTAAGGAAGATTCCAAAGTAAAGAAGCCCGACGAGGCATCTGTACCTAGGAAGAAGAAACCTGCGCCTAAAATACTTGGAATTAAGAGGTATCACTTTGATCATCATTTTAGGTATTCTAAGGCTGAGCTCAAACAGAAGAGAAAATAAAGCTGCAAAGAAGAGGTGCCAGACTATTAATCGACTCCAAGTGCCTAAATTTGATGAAGCAGATATTGAAAGAAAGCATAACAATGGCTACAAGATTGACTTTGAACACTGGTACAGAGTCATGGGCCTCACTGACAGCAAGATCAGTCTGAAGGAAAAGAGAAAAAGAGAGTTCCTCAAGTTCTTAAGTGGTCTAAATGAGATTGAAACTCAACTCTACTGGCAAGAGAAGGCCAAGGTAATCTCCTCTTCATCTCTTTAGGAAATAGAAAAAACATATAGCTTTCAAAACATGGAGAAGATCGCTAATGAGAAGTGGAGAAAGGTTAAACCAACTTGGAGAAACACAGGTGTTGCTGATAAAGTCCTCTTCTTTGCTATGGTTGACCAAGAACAGCAGAATTCCAAATAATTTATTAATATTAAAGCTATGGATATTCAAGATAATAAGAACTAACAGGGGTTTTGGGGTTTTGGGGTTTTGGGG